GGCGCCGCCCAGCCTGGAGGACGTGCAGGTGAGGCCCGAGGGGTCCGAGATGGGACGGGACGGGCCACGGAGGCCAGTAGACTTGAGACTCTGGCTGGAGGCCTAGGGTGACGAATGGGGGAACGCGGCTTCTCCCTCAGTCCGCCAATTGTTGTTCGTGACTCCGCGTATGCGTCCCACGACGCGGCCTGGCATTGAGGCGGTGTGCGGTGCCTGGCTGGCAGCCACTCTCGGCGGAGTAAACGGGCAGATGTCGAACTACTTCTTTCCCTCCACACGGGGTCGTTGAGCCCCGTAGGGCATCCATGCCCAGTCCCAGTCTGCTGGGGCAGCCTCCGCCTGGGGCGAAGAGAGGCAGAGTAGTTGCCTGTCTAAGGTTGCACGGCTCTGTGAGGTACCCAGGACTCCAGCTCGTTTGCAGATGGTGCCGCCACGGCGATTCCAGGTCCCGCCCGTCGCCGCCTCAGGCGACGGGGGTACACGTTGGGCGGAGCAGACAGAGACGAGGGGCAACAGGGGCTTGGGAAGCGACAGGAAAGGAGGTCCACACGCGCCTTCACGAACACCCTCTCCTCTTTTCAGGCCATGGATGAGCCGGGAATGAGCCTCCTGGACCAGTCCGTGATAAAGAAAGGTAAGGAATGGCGTGCGTCTGCCAGAACCGAGCAGGGCGAGATGGTACACGCCCTGGGCGTACGGACCCATTTTCTTCTCAGTAACCGGTGCCTCCAGTGCACCGGGCATTCCTCCCGGCCCAGTAGAGGGACAGCGGCGGAGGCGGCGGGCCTTGTCTGAGTTTGGGCAGACGCGCGGACTTGGAGAGTTGGCTCCCGAGCCTGCAGCCTGAGCTGGGCTCTAGCCCGCCGGCTCTCTCGGCTGCCCCAGCCCGCTGCGCGCCACTAGGGCCCGGCTTCTTCCCGCCGAGGGGAGGGCGCTTTTGTGGATCTGGAGTTACTTTGCAAAACGAGTTAAGCCACTTCCCTGTTTCCTAAGAGGTGGTAATGGGAGTGCTGTTCACACGGATTTTGGTTAATGATTTCCACTGTACAGAGCCTTGCCATTTCGGAGCCTGGCAAGCACTTCTGTCCCTTTCTTCCGATCAGGGCCTTGGGGAACTCACGTTTCCCTGGGGAATTTCCTCTCCAAGCGGGAGCCTCCGGCGGCATTTAGGATTAGGGGAGCTGATGTGTTAATATTGTGTTAGGTTGTGTGCTCACAGGTCAGGGCCTGTCTGCTTCTGAGGGTCGTTGTCTATGAGTTCAGGGCCCTGTATGTGTCAACTTTCCTAGTTGTCTCAGTATTTCTGGGCATGTAAGTGTGTCTGTTGCTGTGAATGTATTTGTGATGTTTGTCTGGTATGTTGGTGTACATTTCCGTGTGCTTGGGGGTCTCTGTGTGCCAGTTAGGGTCTCTGTTGTGTTCTGGAATTTGTTCTTTGGTATCTGAGGATCTCTGAGCAGGTGAAAGTCTCTGTGTATTTGTGGGGGTGTTTGTGTATCTCATAGCACTACTAAAAGCCAAGAGTGTGAACCCCACACGCTATGGGTTTTGAGGCCTGAGGACTGCGTTCCAGCTGTGCAAAGGAAAGGTCCGAGAAACGGAGAAAGAAATAAAGAGAAATATAGAGAGATTCAGAGGGGCCCAGCATTGAGCGGGTGCCTTAGATTTGGGGCTATGCCCGGGAGGAATTCGCAGGCCCGGAGGAGCTGGTGGCGCCCTGGGCCGACATCGCTACCTGGGGATTTGGCTTGAGTTGTTTTTCAAACGATTGAATTCCAGCCCGGACTCTGGTTGCCTTCCACGTGTTCTCAGGGGAGGCTTGGGGTAGGGCTAGGGGTTGTTAAGGAGTTGAGGGATGGAGGTACCGGTGTCACACCTTCTGGAGTTGGGAGGGGGTTGGGAGTGAGAGGAAGGGTTGGACTTCCAGGAACTGGAGCTGGGTTATCAAAAGCTGGCAGTTGTCTGGACAGCCTGGAGTGTATGGAGGGAAGATGAGGGGACAGCTCTGCCGGAATCTGGGGGAGGAGCTCCAGGATTTGGGGCTGGGTCACCAGGAACTGTGAGTGTGGGGAGGACGCTGGAGACCCGGCTGCCTGGAGGCTCCCTGTAGTCAGAGCTGAGGTTTGCCCAGGACTCAGCGCATTGTTGGTGCGCGTTGCGTTGGTTTAACCGACGGCTCCTTTTATGAACTCCACAGAAGGGAGAACTCGGTCTGTAATCAACAAGAGCCTGCCGCTGGGCTGCGTCCACCCGGAGATAATACCGTGGTCGCAGCCCCCAGTTGCCGACTCTCGCACGCGTTCGAGGGAGTGGGGACTAGGCTCACTGACATCCGCGAGGAAGCCAAGACCCTGCATTTTTGGGAGATGCTTGGGGGTCTCTGCCTTGGGAAAGTGTAGAAGGATCAGCCGTGGCTCTGGACACATTGACCCCTTCCCCCTCCCCTGGGCCAGAGCCGGGCCTGGAGGTTGGCCAGGGGAAGGAGTGACTGGAATTGCCCCGCAGCTTGAAAGTTGGTTTCTTTCAAAGGACATCGGTTTCCATAAATTTCAGATGCTTGGCGTGAGCCGAGATCCCCAAAGGCGGTCTCAAGAACACTAGCACGACCCGAACTGTCCCGGGTGCTGAGCGCTAGCTGCTTGGGGCCGGTGTAGGAGCTAGTGCGACACGGGGCGTCGTGGAAGCGGGTGCGCATACCATCCAGACCGCACTGCCAGCCGGTCGGTGGCCGAGTGGAGCGAGGTGGCTCTCTGGAGACGGGAGCGAGGGACGACCCACCCGGGACATCGAGTCACCGCCTCGAGCGCTGCTGCGAAGGGGGAAGACATGAGAGCTGGGGACACCTGGGGAAGGGAACGCCTGATTTCCCGCCCGGTTCCGGAGCCAGGAGCTTGGCCTTGTGCTTTGGAGGAGAGCGAGCCAGTGCCGACGCTTTTTGGCTTCGTCAACGCCGAGGCAGGGCTGGCGCCCGGTGATTCCGACCTTGAAGGTGGGTGCGCGGGCGTCGGCGGAGCGGATCCGCGGCTGCAGAGCAGGTGGTCGGGCTGGATCCCTGCGCTCTGGAGTCTAGATGCCCCGCGCACCAGGCAGATTTCCGCTCGTCGACTCCTGAATCACTCCGGGACTCGGTCCTCGCCGCCAGCCCCGGGCTTCCATCGGGGACATGGGTTAGCGCCCTGCTTCCCCCTCAGGCCCTTCCGATGGCATCAGGAGCCCGCGTTGTGTCCCGAAGACCCCCGGTGTCCCCTGGACACATAAGGGACTACACCCTCGTCATGAGTCCTGGAATTATAGAAAGTCGCTCTTGGCCAGCTACAGCTGGTTCCACGAATTCCTCCCTGCCTGGCGGGAGGAGGGCTGCGTCACCGGCGGTTCGGGTCCTGGATGAGAAATGGAGGCAGCCCAGGCCCCACCCCATGGAGTTGGCTTTGGTCTCCAGGAAGCGGTCTTCGTGCCTCAGGGAGATCTTGGGCCTGGACTTGGCCGATGCTGGCGGGGAGGGGAGCCTGGAAGCTTTTGAGACCCGAACCTTCCTTAGTTGTAAAATTTTTGCTGACTCCAAGCCCTTGTCCCAGAGTGGAGGCGAAGTCTCGGCCCCACCGCACACTTCCAGGCCGGCCTCCCCGTTTGGACCACTGTGTAGATCTGGGAATGGTGAATGGGGCCAGTGCTGACCTGAGGTGAACTGGGGAACCCTCCATTTTCAGCCCACATTTGTCACCTCCAGTTTTGAGACTCCTCCCAGGCATGACCCAGGGACACAAAAAGCAGATGGGACTGGTGGGGAACATAGACCTGGACTGATATTTTCCTGCCAAAAAGGGCAGTAAGTGGGGTCTGTACAGGATTCAGTGAGAGCTCTGAGGAGCCAGCGGTGAGTGCCTGGGGTTGAGAGGCTTCCTAGAGGAGGGACATTTGGACAGGGCTCAGTAGGTGCTCAGTGGATGTTTGTTGAATGAATAAACGCTGGGTTTTGAAATCTGAGTGCATTGGAAAAAGGGGCGTCGAATGGGCTGAGTTACTTCCACCACACTAGGCACAGCATGTGCAAATACCTTCTCCGTGGAAAAGCCAGACTGGTTAAAACCTTAGGTCGGTTTCAGGTTATACAGTCACAGCTTGAGCAGAGTGCGTTTGCAATAAGAATTGAGATATATTCCTCCACTCCCACCGAGGAAAGTGGGTCGTTGCTTGTTTGGGGGTGGAGAACAGAAGAGGACATTCTCCTACCCCTCTCTGCTGGGCTTCCCTGTCCCATCTCTGTAGGTCTGCAGCAGCAAGGGCTGATGTAAATAGTCACCCTCTCTCTCCCTAGCTCTGGGGAAGGCGTAGGGAGGTGGGGAGGGGCTAGGCTTCTAAGTGTATCTCCAGACAGGGCCAGGACTAGGGTAAGGTGAGTAAGGCATTCACCTCTGGGACAAAATGTAAGAGGGCACCAAGAAACTCAGTATTTGAGATAAATAATATCTTAATGCAATATTTTTAAAAATAAAAATTAATGCAAAAATCCATAATAAAATTTCAAAAACTACCTAAAGACAGAATCTGACCCTGCACTTGCATGGCACTCCCTCACTAGCCTCACCCTCATCTCAGCTCTGCCTCCAAGGCTACTGTCTGCCCTACAAAGTGACTAAAAGATCAGGGCTCATGCAGATAGATTTTGGACTCTACCTGAGGACAATGGGAGCCGTGGAAGAGTGTGGAGCAGGAGAGTGACTGATAGGAACCGTATTTAAAAGAAGCCCACTGGCTGTTGGTGAGAAGACTTAACCAGTGGGTCCCATTTGAGGAGGTGAGGAGACTCAGATGGGTAGGGGGAGGGTCACTACCCTTCCTGTCTGTCTTTCTCCTGCTGTCCTTCTCAACCCCCACCCCTATCAAACTTTGGATGCTTGTGGTCCAAGGAACCATATACATCAGAATTACCTGGGCTGCTTGTTAAGAACGCAAATTCCCTGAGAACAAACTCACATCTACTGAAAAGAATCCCTGGAGATGTGGCCTTGAACTTACATTTTTTAAACTGATTTATTGTGGTAAAATTTACATATCCAAATTCACCCATTGTAAGAGTACAATTCAATGATTTTTAAAAATATTATTACTGTTTATTTTATTTTTAGTGAAAATATACATAGCAGATCATACAGCCAATCAGCAATTTCTACAAGTATAGCTAAATGATATTGGTTACATCTTCATGGTGTGTCATCATCTCGCTATTTTCCCCCATATTATTTCACCATCATTGACTTAGACTCACTACCCCAAAAACTGCTCCTCTGTGTTTTAGAGTTACTGTCGTCAATTTGATTTCATATAGGTAATTCTTTAAAGGAGTGCAAGGCTGAAAGTAAGCATTCTTTACTAATTCAGCTAAATTGTTACAATTCAATGATTTTTAGTACATTCATAGAATTGTGTGACATCACCACAGTTCGTTTTCCATCACCCCCAAAAGTTCTCTCCTTCTGGTTTGTAGTTAATTCCCATTCCCACCCCAAGCTCTAGGCAACCACTGATCTACTTGCTGTCTATAAATTTGCATATTCTGGAAGTTTCATATAAATGGAATCATAAAATATGTAGACTTTTTTTTGCATCTAGCTTCTTAGCATAATGTTTTTGAGGTTCATCCATGTTGTAGCATATATCAGTAGTTCTTTTTATTGTATGAATATAATACATTTTGTTTATCCATTCATCATTTGATATACACTTCGTTTAGTTCCACTTTTTGGCTATAATGAATAATTGTTGTAGTTAGGTGCCATCGAGTTGGTTCCAAACACTACCCGGTCTGGCGCCATCCTCACAGTCGTTGCTATGTTTGAGCCCATTGTTGCAGCCACTGTGTCAATCCATCTAATTGAAGGTCTTCCTCTTTTTCGCTGACCCTCTCCTTGACCAAGCATGATGTTCTTTTCCAGGGATTGGTCCCTCCTGATAACATGTCCAAAGTATGTGAGAGGAAGTGTCACCAGCCTCACTTCTCAGGAGCATTGTGCTGTACGTGTTCCAAGACAGAGTTATTCATTCTTCTGGCAGTCCATGGTATATTCAATATTCTTTGCCAACACCATAATTCAAAGGCATCAATTCTTCTTCAGTCTTCCTTATTCATTGTCTGTAATGAATAATGCTGCTATCTTAGTTATCTAGTGCTGCTATAACAGAAATACCACAAGTGGATGATTTAACAAAGAGAAATTTGTTCTGTCACAGTCTAGCAGGCTACAAGTCCAAATTCAGGGCATCAGCTCCAGGGGAAGCCTTTCTCTCTCTCGGTTCTGGAGGAAGGTCTTTGTCATCAATCTTCCCCTGGTCTAGGAGCTTCTCCACGCAGGAACCCTGGGTCCAAAGGACACGCTCTGCTCCTGGTGCTTCTTTCTTGGTGGTATGAGGTCCCCCACTCTCTGCTTGCTTCTCTTTCCTTTTATCTCTTGTAAGATAAAATGTGGTGCATGCCTTGGATCAGGGATGTGACCTGAGCAAGGGTGTTACATCCTGCCCTAATCCTCTTTAACCACAGGCAGAGATTAGGATTTATAACACAGAGGAAAATCACAAAATGGAGGACAACCACACGGTATTGGAAATCATGGCCTAAAGCTGACACATATTTTTGGGGGACACAATTCAATCCATGACAGCTGCTATGAATATTAACATACATATTTTTGTATGGACATATATTTTCATTGCTCTTGGGTAAATTCCTAGAAATGGAATTGCTAGGTTGCATGGTAAGTTTGTGTTTAATTTTTTTAAGAAACTGCCAAACTGCTTTCTAAAGTGGCTTTACTATTTTCCATTCCCACCAGCAATGTGTAAGTGTTCCAGTTTCTCCACGTTCTTGCCAACACTTAGTGCCATCTTTTTTATTAGAGCAATCCTAATAATATCTCATTATAGTTTTAATGTTCACGTGCTTAATGACTAATGATGTTGAGCATCTTTTCATGTGCTTATTAGCCTTCACGTATCATTTTTAGTGAAATGTCTGTTCAAATATTTTGCCCATTTTCTAATTGGATTGTTTATCTTATTATTGAGTTGTAAGAGTTCTTTATGTTCTGGATACGCTTTCTTTATCAGATATATAATTTGCAAATATTTTCAAAGTGGTTTGTCTTTTTATTTTCTTGGCTTTTTTTTTTTTTTAAGGTACAAAAGTTTTTTATTTTAATGGAGTCCAATTTATCACTTTTTTCTTTTATTAATCATGCTTGTGGTGTTGCATCTAGGAACTCTTTGCCCAACCCAAGGCCATGCCGATTTTGTTTTCTCTAGAAGGAACTGCAATTTTAACAAACTTTCTGAAATAGTTTGTTGCACATTCCTCAGATTCAGTGATCAGACCATATCTACCACCTGTGGATAGTGTTGTATAGACCTGCATATGCGAGAGTCTTGTTTGACGGGTTGAATAACTGAGAGCTCTTGTGTCCGTAGGAGTGTGTGTATGTGAATGGCTTTTGCATGTGTGACCAGGAGGACATTCATAAGGAGACCAGCCCCAGCTTCAGGAGTCTCCATGCAGGGCCTGTTGGTGGGTATGGGAAACAAACACTAGTGCCTCTGCTTTGCAGTCTGTGCTAGCTTAATTCCTACCTCTAAAATCCTCCCTTCCCCAGCCCACGTGCATTACACACCTTGGACTCCATTCCTCTTTCCATTTTGAGGGAAAAGGTTCTGAGGAAAAGGGAACAGGTCAGGCGAGTAGTGAGGTCTATTGTTTGTATACACAAACACATATCCACTTGTCATAGACCTACAATTAATAGCTGTACCTGTGCTTGCATAAGGGGGCAGTGGTGATTCAGTGGTAGAATTCTCTCCTTCCATGTGGGAGACCCGGGTTCGATTCCTGGCCAATGTACCTCATGTACAGCAACTACCCGTCTGTCAGTGGAGGCTTGCGTGTTGCTATGATGCTGTATAGGTTTCAGCAGAGCTTCCAGACTAAGACAAACTAGGAAGAAAGGCCTGGCAATCTACTTCTGAAAATCAGCCAATGAAAACCCTATGGATCACAATGGTCCAATCTGTGACTCAGCATTTTATTCTGTTTTCCGTGGGATTGCCATGAGTCGGGAGCCAACTCAACAGCAGCTTACAACAATGCTTGCATAAATCCAGCACACAGTCTATGTGTACATATATCAACAGGAGCAAAGCACTTGCAGATATCCATGTGCACGCTACCACATTCCTACAACACTCAAGGAGGGCAGAGACTCTGTCCATGTATGTAGCTGGGGCTCAGTATGTGTTGAATGAGTAAATGTTTACATGCACAGTCTCACTCCCATTGCTGTATCTATGACAAGGGCATGTAGTTTTTGTGTAAACTCACTTTTGTGAC